TACCTAAGAAATATGTAACCTATCTTTTGGTACAGCTTGATGCACTATTCATTATAATTTTCTCTGCAAGTACTGCCTGATTATGCATAAAGAATTCATGATGTTAAAAAACATGTAGGTTCAAAAAGTCTTGATAGAAATGAATAAAAACCCTATAACCCGAGTGCTTTTGAAAGGTGGACCTTTCTAATTCAGGAGCAAACTGAAGAAGACCTTTCAAAGTGCTCGGGTTATAGGGTTTTTATTCATTTCTATCAAGACTTTTTGAACCTACATGTTTTTTAACATCATGAATTCTTTATGCATAATCAGGCAGTACTTGCAGAGAAAATTATAATGAATAGTGCATCAAGCTGTACCAAAAGATAGGTTACATATTTCTTAGGTATACACTTAAAAAATAACACATGGGTTTGATCCTGGACCACACTACAAAGCTAAGCACCAAACCTAAACCATTGGCAGTACAAATTTATGATTTACTGTGTCTTAGCTCCCAAATGAGCATATAGTATAGCCAGGGAAATATTGACAATTGAATTAAAGAACTTCTAAAAGCTTGGCTTTTCAAAGTACAACAAAGATCCCTGCAAAGACATTATTTACATATTCTATTTATATATAAAACTCCAGATCACATTTAATATCACTTTTTTTTATATTTCTTAGATTGTGTTCAGTAACCAGTGTGTTGTATTAATGTAATATTTGTTATTAATAAGTATTTGTTTTTGATACTTTAACCACTAATTTTAGTCTTTTGTCAAAACAGAACTTTAAAGTAAAAATTTAAAGCATCCTAAACAACCTACCATCATAAAAATATTGTAAACTAAGTAAAATTATCCACTAGTTTTTCAGTCCTCTCACATTTATTCCAGTACTCTGTCATAGAAACTTTTCCTCATGAGTAAACAGTATAGGCTTCCTGAAAAAAAGTGACTTCTAAACTTGTCACATAACTAACATTAAGGTGGTCTTTCACTGTTTATAAAGCATATTGTATATATATATATATATTTAAACTTATCTTTTTTAAATTTTTCCTTGCACTTCAGTGCTAGTCCTGTCATCTATGATTGGTGTCTAAACTTTTTCTAGTCTGTTTTCTTTATAAAACAGCATCTGGGCATGTTAAACCTCAGTTGTAAAACTTTTAGCCAATCTTAGTCGTAAGTGTCAATTTCAGTACCATGTTATTCCAATTGCTCTATTTCACATTTGACAAATCATAGGATGATAAGCAAAGCACGTGACGAAACGTTGTTCCCTGGATGGTATCTGTATCATTTGGTAACCTCTTCTAATAAGATGTATCAAGTAACTAGGGTCAGGCGGTGTTATTCAAACCACCTGTACTGTAAACTATTCAAAAGTGCTTGAGTTTTGGGTCTTATTTTAAGTTTATTACTCTTTATATGTGATCCTTTGTGCTAACTCTTTTATCAAGACATACATTCGCTAGTAGTGGCAATTAGTTTTGTCTGTATAGTGAAACAACATACAAGGACATAAGTTGAAATAAACATGTTTCAAGTACCGAAAAGCTTTCTTACTATCATATCTACAGTAATGTTCAAATGCACCTGTGCTGGATTGAATGAGAGTGACCACCAACAGGCATGATAGTTTATGGTAAATGTACGAAGTTCACGCTGCTAACCTCATGATTTATTTGGCATAATAAACAAAAGTACGGCTCCAAGGAAATATAAACATAAACTTGAAATAAAGATATATTTATTAAACAAAATTAAAATGTTTTTATGTACATGTATAAACATAAAATCCTAATTAAAAATAAAAATACTCGCTTATTGTTTAGGTATATTTACAAATATTATTTTTGGGTCTTATATATTGCTTGAAACCATAAGGAGAGTATGTGATTATTGAAAATAGACATAATTTGCATTTTATGGACAATAAAAAGTTTTTAAGGATTTTCAAATAACGTACTAAAACAAAAAGTAACAAGTTCAAATTAGGAACAAATATAAATATCGTAATCATTTCTTATAAATACGATTTCCTAATGTAATTTTCCAAGATATTAAAGATCATAATTCAAAAAAACTAAATTTATCAAAGTAACAGGCTTTATGTCTCATGAACAACGTGCATTTATGAAAGTTCTTATGAAGTTATAAACAATTTCATCCACTAGTTTTATTTTGGAATATAATATAGCAAGACTTGCATTGCATTGCAGGTTAATATCTGTTAACACTTGAAACAAATATTTTGTATGTTTAGCTTCTTATTTATATATGAAATCATTTAAATTTGGAAAGTAATTAAATTTTTTAATGTAAAAACCATAGTGCTTTTTTGCCAGCATTTTTCTTGCAAGCCAAAGTTGAGCCACTTTGGATCGAGATTCATTGAACATTCAAGCTTCAATACCAGCCCTAAGCCAAGAACGTACATGTACATCTTTGCAATAATTTCACTCCATCAGTACATCGTGACAAAATTCTTAAAGTTATAATACAGATTATTTGAAATAAGTATATGTAATAAAACATATGCTAGCAACATCATAAATTCATAAAATATTTATGTAATGCATGTTTATGATAAGTAATAAAATGATATAGAAATACAAATTATTGAATTATTGTTTACTCAATATAACTGGATTTATCTGTGTAAAGAAAGCTTCTGAAGGTTTGTTTAAATTCAGTTAATACACATTTCATCATAGGATTGCCAGTAAGTCTCGTTCAAGTTCTTTCTTTCATCAGTAATCAATAGAAATAAAACATTATTTAACATTTATTCAATGAGAAACCTTGTGTTACTCAAAAAATATGCACACCTTTCAGCATTCTTGAATATCTTTTAGGAATTGTCATTTAGTCAGCTTCATCAGTTTGTACAAAATTCCCTGTATCCCAAAGTTCATCATATGCAAGTGCCTGATGAATCTCTACCAAAAACAGAATTACACAAGCTTTTAGCCAGGTAAGTTGTAGTTTGAAATTATACATGACACAGTTATAGTAAATTAGTGGTTTAATTTGTATGAGAGTTTTAAGGTTTTTTTTTTTTTTTTTGGTTTCCAATTTCCAACACTTTGATCTTTTTAAGAGATATTAACCCAACAAGATCATTGTTGATCA